AGTCTCCACGTCTGTCAGACCACTTAAAAATGGATGTTTGCAGTACTGGTCCCCAAAATGTGCTTCGGGGCAGACCTTCTCCTAGAAGGGGGACCTGGAGCTGTCCCCAGAAGCTGACAGTCACTTGCTTCGGGGGAGACATTCTTGTGTCCTTTTAATTTCTGTTCATTGACCCGAGGGCTGGGAGCAGCCTGTGGACTCTTCTGATCTCCTGCCTGGCTCTCCCCCTCCTCGGACAGCTTCCTGCTCTCTCTGCGCCTGTGCGACCCACTCCTGTCCTTGGTCATTGAGGACCTTCGTACTGCAACCCTGTTGGCAAACTTTCCGATTCCAAGAGAAGGACCCTATTTTCACGGTTCTCCGTCTCATTTTAGTGTGTTTAAGGAATGCTTCAAAGTGTCCCTCGATGTTTTAAAACCTCCCTTTGTGCCTTAGCAACTGGCATATTGTTTCCTGCCCGAGTTTTGGCCTCTGTCCCACAAGGCAGGGCTGAAGCAGGGGTGAAAAGTTCACCCTCCGGAAGTGCCTGTTAGGTCAGCGTCACGTGACGAGCGGTCCCAGCCCCCTGCGACTCCAGGGACAGGAACCCCTGGAGAAGGCTGCCCGAGAACGGGCTCCTCTCCGCTCTGCTGCCGGTGCCTGCGGTGTCCTTGAGGGTTCCAGGCTCCGGGGAGAGTGTGGGGCGCTCCTGTGACTGCGCCAGCACCCTGCCAGCACCCTGCCAGCACCCTGCCAGCACCCTGCCAGCACCCCAGATGATTGTCTGCATCAGGGCTTTAAAGTGGGAAGTCGTGACCCGTTGGCAGGTCAGACAGCCGATGTAGAGGCCAGAGATCAGCGTCAAAAAATAAGAAATAGGAGCTGGATGGGGTGGCCCCCGCCTGTCAACCCGGTGGCTCAGGAGGCTGAGGCAGGAGGAGAGGCTGAAAGTCGGCCTCAGCAACTTAGTGAGGACCTAAGCAACTTGACCCTGTCTCCAAAAATCAAGAGCTGGGAATGTGGCCCAGTGGCCATGCTCTGCTGGGTTCAATCCCCAGAACCAAAAGAAAGAAAGAAAAGGTCAGTATGAAAAGAGAACCTTCCACGTAAACGACAGCGTGCTACGTCGGGAGGCTCCTGTTGGACACATGTGTACACACAGACATCCGCGTCTGCTGGTTGCACATGTGGGCACCCGTGCGTGCTGGCAGGCACACACTCCCCTTCTTTCTATCTATTCAAGAGCCCGACCATTCAAAGTGCTTGCCCTGGTCAGTGGGCATGTTCTGAAATGTACACAGCACCCTACTTTACATTCACAGTGACGGCATTTTAGTTTATATGGGTTGTGTACCCCATTTTCTTTCTTAGTATTTCCTCCCCTCTGCCCTGTTTCCAAGGGCACAGAATTGCTGTGGGTACACCAAGTTCATGGGATCCACGCGCTCCAGGGTGTTACCGTGTGCCCGAGTCACGTTGTACTGCCACGCTTCCCCCAGGGCTGGGCATCAGCATTGTCTCTGTCTGACCCCGCACACACCCCTGACTAGAAAGCACCAGGGGGATTTAATCGGGGATCTGGACTAACAGTCGATTCACTGGGCCGTGGTGCGTGTGGACGCAGCGCAGATGTGTATGCAAGTAACTTCCCCCAGGCTTCACCCAGGATGTACTCAGGCCCCAGCAGCAGCATGGGGGGTAGATACCCACCTTCCCACCAGTACTCGGCATTGTAAGGTTTCTGGTGTTCCTACTTCTGAATACTGCTTGTAAAACATCTTTTTGTTTTAGTTTCCTCTCATCGGATGGTTGATGAATTTTATTATCTCTTCATATGCTTCTTTTATGGATTTTTTTCCTTATGCAAATTTTCCTTAAATTCACTGTACACTTTTCCATTGGAAGCTTTTTTGTACTTTAACTACAGCCTCATCCACACCCGACACTTTTCTATTAACTTTGTCCAGTATATTCTTCTCTTTTTTTTTAATCAAACAGAACTCTTTAATTTGGATGTAATTCATTTCATTAATATTTTACTTTGGGAGTTTTGCAAAATAAATTTTTCTCTATCTTTTATAAAAATTGCCTTTTTTAATGTAGACTTTATCATCGTATTTTTTACATTTAGGTCTTTCACCCATTCCATTAAGTTCCTGTGTTTCGGGTGGTTGGCGGGAACCTAGGGTGATCTTTTTTCTTCAAGTTCATGGGGGGACACTTTGACCCTCTGATCTTTTTTTTAAAAACTGGAGTTCAGTGTCTTGTTAATAAAGCTCGTTATTTTAATGCAACATCTGGTACAGTAGGTCCTGCTTGTTTTTCTTCTTTTTCAAGGTGGACTTAGGTGTCTGTGCACTTGGCTTTTCCATATGAATTTTGAAATAAATACACGCGTTAGGTGCTTCAAACTAAAATCGCATTTTCACGCAGGTGACACTCGTTTGTAAATTAAAAGTCACTTTTTAGAACAGTAGCTTCCCTGCTCTCCATTTAGCTCATCATCTTCTATGTACCTTATTGAAGCACAAATGATTCCCCACGGGGAGAGAACACTGCTGGCATGTGGGTGGCCAGCGTCCCCTAAGGCTGCGTGTTCCAGGCGTGGCCGCAGGCAGGGTGCTCCTGGGGAGCAGTGAGCCCCGAGGCTGTAGGCAAGGCTGGCGGGAGGTCTTTGGTCATTGCGTTGATACACTTGAAGGATGTCACAGGGCTGCAGTCACCTCCACATGGTCTTTTGCTTCTGGGCCACGGGGTCAGTGGCTTTTTTCTGCCACCTTCTCCTGCCCTGTCGTGGTCCCAAAGCAGTGGGGCCAAGGAATCATGGGCTGGAACCAAACTCTAAGCCAAAGTCAACATTTTGTCTTTATAAATTGATTTTCTCAGGTATTTCATGATAGCAACAGAAAGCTGACGAACACATAAGTATTCTTGTCCGCCCTCGGAACCCATAAAAGATGAAGATGATACAGACATTCATAAAATGGCTCTAAAGTCATTATAGATCTTAACAGGACTGAACAGGTGTGAATGTAGTATACTTCTTGCTCACGGATTGATTCTGGTACAAAATACCAGATAAATACTTAAAGGTGATATCAGGTACCACAACACACTGTAAATAAGAAAGTACTTCTCAGTGAGGTGAGATGCGCCCTCAGGGTCACAGAGGCAGAACCGGGACAAGTTCACCGTGAGCCACGTCGTGTGAACCCTGGTCCACTTCCTTTGCCAACAAGCAGCGTCCACAACACCACGGTCCCCCGACAGGCTGGCTTTCTGCGGGCTTCCCTCGTGGAGTTAAAGGAAGGTCTGCTTGTTAGGAAAACTGGACTCTTGTGCGGCTCACAAAGAGGATTCCATGGCTGAAGTCACAAGATAGAAGGGGAAGAGGATGTCCTGCGCATCTTGTTGGTTTCTGGTTAATAATGGCGTGAGCTCGCGTTTGGTCTTTCCACAGCTGTGCCCCTGTGTTGTGGCTGTGGTGGGTACTGACTTTCAGAAGTTCACAGTGTTCTTGGCACAGAACAGCAGCCGCGTGTTTGCGTGCTGGCAGAGTGCTGGGGCGGTAGGCCAGGTGAAGGCCCAGGCAGGAGCGGAGGGATTGGCCCTCTCTGGTGTGGCCACCGGATTCCGAGCTCTGGATGGGCGTGGTGAGGGACAGCGGTCATTGCCGACGTGCGTTTTCTCCCTCTTCCCACGTGAACGTTGAGACATGACTTTTGAGGTCTTTATCGCAACTAATTTCCCCCTCAATAAGATGGCTTGGGACAGAAATGAGTGCTCTTTCTTTTTTTAAAGACAGACAGCCAAGCTCAGAGGGGAATGATTACAAGACTAATTCTGCTCTCTTAATGGCATCAATTGAATGACATAAAAAAAAAAAAGCGAAGCCCACGTGATTTCACAGCATTTTAACACTATGCATTTGAATCCCAGCAGAATGTCATTCTGCATGTCTTTTTGGACTCTCTGTAATAGGGCCATGACTTAAAGTTAAATTCATCGTGGGTGTGTGTGTGTGTGTGTGTGTGTTTCTGTGTGTTTCTGGGGTGAGTCATGTTGGGGGGTGGCTCCGTGTGGCCTGAGGTTAGAGAGAGATGGACGGGCTCTTGGAGCCAACGTGGATGCCACACTCTGTGGGACGGCACAGAGACGCTCTGAGCTGCCCAGGGCCGGGCAATTCCTCCCCTTTCCTCTGAAGCTCATATTTCCACCCACCTGTCACGATGTCAGTGTCCAGCTGTCCCGAGCCCCCCTGCCCTCGTCAGCTGACACATCCAAGGCACTCCACGGTCTTTGTCCAAAGCCTCTGAGCCCCGTGTTCCTCTGAGCGTCCGCAGCCCTCTCCCAAGGCTCAGGGTGAAGCCGCCGTCTCACCTGCGAGTCCTGCCTGCCCCCTGGCTCTGAGGCCTTTCCTCAGCACCTGCCTCTGTCTCTGTGGGGTTCTGGTCACCGACATCCCCACGCAGGCTGCTGCTGCCTTCACCAAACCCCCTTCCAGGCTGCTTCTCAACCCCTCCCTGGACAGACTGGGAGGTGACTGTCCTGTCTCCACCTTGGGCAGCTGGCCTCACCTGCGTGCACCTGGCTTTCTTCTCACCTGTCCAAGTGTGAGCAGTCACAGGGAGCCCAAGACCCGTGCTGAGGACCAGGGGCCTAATGAATGCCAGGTGGTGGGCACGGTGCCTGGCACAAACCAGAGCTTAGCTCATTCCACTCCCCTTTGATTTCTTCAAACAACATTTGTTTTGCTTTAAAGAAACACCAGAGGGTCCGTTTTGCTGTGGGTGTCCAGAGCACCTTGTTCTTCTCAGCCCAGGTTTCCCTTCTCTGGTCATGCTGTCCAAAGTCACCTGGCCCTGCCTGGCTCTGCCTGGTCCTGCCCGGCCCTGCCCTGTCCGGCCCTGCCTGTCACTCTTAGCACGTCACTTTTATGTTTTCGCCTCTTTAATCTCTTTGACATTATCTTTCACTTCTTTGGCTAATTTCTTACGCGTCCTGTCCTACTTCTGTCCTAGGATATAAGCTCTACAAAAGCAAGGCCCATGCCACAGGATGACTGAGAGCCCGACAGACGTTTCCAGGCCTCTGAGTGGACACTCAGTCTTCACACAGAGGCGCCGGCCCTTAAGCCATTCAGAATCCCCAGCAGCTGCACCAGGAAACAGCTGGAGAAGACTCTGCCCAGCACCAGCTAGGCGGCCTCGTGGGAGAGGAGAAGCTGCCTCCATAGGCTTTGGTTGCAAACCCAGGAGTCACGACTTCGGGGACAGATCTAGCAACGCCACAGAGTTAAATTTTCCTTTGATGGGATCTGGTAGGTTTTCCTGGGATGATTCTTTATGACGCCCTATTATTGACCTTGGTGTCCGTCACTTGAGCTCCCAGAACCTGCTCCTGCTTCAGCCTACCGCAGGACCTCCATCTGCATTTACATCCCTGATTCGGGCCTCTTTATTCTGCTTTGAGTGAGCACAGATTCCGTCTCCTCCTGGCCACGGGGGTCCCTCGCCTGTTTCTCCTGGTCACTTGTTGTGTCCCTGTAACCCCAAGGAGACCTGCACCCCCTAAGCCATCCTTTCTATCCTTTGGTAGACAGAACAAGCACTCGGTTACTCTTCCATTCTCTCCCATTCAAGACCAGTGTGTTAAAACAGTGGAACTACACATAGAGCCAGCCCACCCTGTCGGCCCTAATCGCCTCCATGTCTCCGTGACCTCTCCTCCCGCCCACCTCCAGACTCTCCGGCCATTGCACTCATTGCTGGCCCACCATGGTGTGCATATTGCTGTGCTGCTGAGAAGTGCTCTGTGCCGCCCGGCCACTGCGGGACAGGCTGGGAGGTCGCAGGAGTCCAGGCTGCCCTGTACAAATGACACTTAGTCGTCCGTCGTGATTCCAGAGTGAACACTGGGACTACCACCCCCCACCCCCTTTAGGGCAAGTGCAAATGTAGCTTTAGGTTCTTACTGAAAAGGAGAAGGATATGAGTGCAATTTCTAAATAAGTTGCTGAGAAACTAAAGCAATAAAATTCTAAGCATTGAACTTGTCTTTAATATCCAACAGACTAATACATTTATCTTTTGTGCTTTTTTTGAAAACAATGTTTTTAAAACCATTGTGTTTATTCAAACCATTGACTTGGGCCATTTATGTCTTAAGTAAAACCCCGTATGCCCTTAATAATAACGGTCCATGCTCGATATGCATTTTCACATACACATTATAATTTGCTGTAGTTGTTGCTATCATCACTTAAAAGGGCTCCAGTAAACCAATACGAGGATCACAGAACTACTGACCTCTAAGTAAATATTAACGTCCATTTTTTACCCTCTAGAGCCCAGGTATCCAGAAACAAAACCAAGGGCATAGACTGCGTGGCCTCTGAAGTCCCCTCAGCTTATCACGTTTTAGAATCTTGATTTCATGGGCACTTCTTGCCTCATTAATCTCTCTTGCAGAAGAAAACGAGTGTCCGGTAACATCTGAGCATGTTTATGAGAGTTGGAAGACTGCTGGGGTAAAGTGGCTGTTTCCTTCTCTGTATTGAAGACGACATCATCCTGAGCATTTGGACAGGATGCATCTGAGCCTCACCTGTCCTGTATGGTTAAAAAAATAAATAAAAACAAAACCAAAAACTGGATAATAAGATTTTCCCTGTTCATGCAGAGCCAAGAATGAGTTGAAATTGGGTGGGGGTTGCATCAGAGATCTTGTAATTTGAAATGGACAAAGATAACCTCATCATGCTCCTGGGGTTAGTAGAGCGTACACCTACTGTTTGCTTTCTGCTCGCGGGACGTTCTGCCCAGGGCTGACGGAGCGTTGAGTCGTGCTGTTATCCCCGTTTTTCGGTCAGAGAAGCCAGCTGAGGCTGACTGAGATGTGGTCCCGCCTGGCCTGCAGAGGAGGATTGTGGAGCCTGACCAATGTGTCCAGGTGACCACTGATCGTGGGCTGCTGGCCCTGTGTTCGTTCCTGCCGATGCCAGGTGTCGGACAGGAATACCATTTACAGGGTGGGGATCCACCTCTGTCTCTGTCACTTGGGGCAGGTAGAGCGGGTGCTGCAACTCACAGCCAGATCTTTGCTGGTGTTTTGACTTAATTAAATGTTGAATGATAACGAAGGCGCACTTCTATAGGAAGTGTGAAAACACTGTTTACACCTGACAGGACCAGCTCCTTGTTGTGTCTGTCGAGGTATGAGCATGCAGATTGGGAAGTGCTAGACACAGGCAGGAGCTCTCAGCTCTCCATTCTTAAAGACAAGGACCAGTAGTACCCACAGAGCAAAACGAATATTTTTTTCAGTGGTACTTTACCTTCCTGAATACTCACGGGGTGGCCTGAGTCCCATTTTCAACACGATTCCTTGCCTGTTTTTACATCCTAATGTGGTGTGCAAAATAGTCTAGTTTACAGAAAATCAACTGAGCAGAATTTTAAGATGCAGACCTTTAGATCTTTTACCTTATTCTAAGGATGGATCGTAATTCTAGTTTCAATTTTTTTTTTTCTTTCAGGATCTTAACATTATTTGGAGCCAGGGTTCAATGGTAAATTTTTTTTTTCCTTTAAATTTTTGGTTTTTTTTTTTTTAAATTTGCCCTGGGGATCACACCGTGGCCTTGTGCATGGCTGACAAGAGCCCCCACGACTGTTCCACCCCCAACCTGAGTGGTCACTTTTTTATTCCTACCGACTTGGACCCCGAGAGCCCTGGTGTCCAGTATGAGGGTGCTCAGGGAAACAGAAGCACAGCCGACGGAAGCTTCAGTTCCTCCGTGGCGGTGGCCTCAGTTGAGATGTCTGGTGTCTGGTGGCTGGGCCGCCAGGGTGGAGAGGCTGGTACGCAGCACTTCTATCACTGCAGAAAGTTCCGCAGGACAGCGGCGCTCCAGGTCGTTTTAATGGTCTGCTTTCGATCCTCTGTTTATTTGGGTGAAAACATGATGAATCGGGTATCACCCTCCAGACCTCATAGCTGGAAGAGGATCTGGGGTACGGAGTGTGCTTGGGAACTCTGGGAGGGCTGCTCCTTATGTCCTGCGCCATACAACACCTAACAGCGAAGACCACTGTGATTTTACCTTGTTTCCAACTCTGTGTTCTGGATAATCATCATTTTGTTAAATACACCGACGGCGGTGCTGGTTTTGATGGGTTGTACGTTTGATGGATGAACTGGGTGAGAAGCAGCCTCAAACTCAGACTAATTTAGTATAAAATCGAACACAGGGAATCTTAAGTTACAGAACGACTTGTTTAAAGTTCACTCTGCAGACAGGAGACTGTCCTCTAGAAATTCACCCTTGCGGGCCGGGGAGTTGAGCCCTGTCTGGTGGCTGTCTGTCCAAGTTCCTCAAGGCAAAGAAAGGAGACAATGGAGCCTTGTTTTTTGACAGCTTGATTGAATGTATTCAGTCCCAAGTTTTGAATAATCTGTTTAACTGGAGATATTTTGCACAGTGAATACAATTTCATTTGGTATGAAATTTAATCCTCAGAGTATCTTCAGCATAATTTTAATGCTTGCCAGATCTCTCTATCTGCTACCCAGCTCTGGGTTGGTGTCCAAATGCCTTTACTTGTTAAGAAAACCTCTACTCTGCATTGCTGATTTGTTATCGGTAGTAACAGCTAGGAAACACAGAAAATATATGTGTTTTAAAAAGTATGGAAGATGATTGGTTTCCGTGTTCCTCTGGATGGCTTGATCCATTTTCTCTCCTAACTCTTCTGTTTCTCATTCACTGATGAACACTACATAAAAGACAAGGTACAAACTGAACAATGAGTTCCATGGTATTAAAAGAACAGGCCACCACCAAGCACTCCTGTGAGATTAAAAATGAATTTGGTGAACCATTTTGTTATTTTGATTCGGCTGGCTCTGATTGTTCTTCAACGTCTTTTGCAATTATGAATATCTTCACTTAAAATGGTGTGCTATAGGTATAAGTTTTATCATGAAGCATGCTCTCTCTCTCTCTCTCTCTCTCTCTCTCTCTCTTTTTTTTAAGCAGACCCCCATGTATGTCACAACCACATCACCTCCGAGTCCTCCCATGAGCCTTCCTTTAAGAGAGCTATTTATGGAAAAGCCTAAAGCGGCAGTGAGTGGGTGGGTGGGTGCCTCCAGTGATAGAATCTCAGCCTCCTGTTTATCATCCTTCACAGTCTGTCCCCCACCCCCAGAGCTCTCTTGGGCTGAGACTCAGCAAGCTTCTGTAGTCAATCAAGAGTGCCTGCCAGCGTCAGTCCTGCAGATGGACCTCACCACACTGGCGAGCCTAAGTTCTCTCTGCTTAAATTACAACCTCAGCGACGCTGGTTGCCGTGCTTGAGATCGGCTCTTCTGGAAGTGGCAAGTGGCTTAGGCTGCGTGTGCTGCCTCGGCCAATTAGGTTTTTAAATAGCTTGGAGGGTGGGCGTAGTTGGTACGATTCTCTCTGTTCACCTCTGGGTTCAGTGGTTTCCCAGGACTCGCACAGTCCCTGCGTCACTCTTCCTGAAGAAAGGGGAGGAAAGTCTTTCTTTTTGCAGGAGGGTGGACTTTTAAAGTTTTGTTTTGCTCAGGTGTTCAGAACGGAAATGTAAAATGGTGGGGAGGGGTGCTAGGTTCCCAAGTGGCCGTTGGCCCTCGGTTAACCGGGCCAAGATACTTTCTGAATATAAGGGTGTGGAGGAGCAAAGGAAGGAGGACAGCAAAAGGCTGAGGGCCCCTCACTGAAATGGCATCCTTGGGCACTGAAATGGCATCCTTGGGCACTGAAATGGCATCTTGGGCTTCTAGATACTTCTCATGGCGTGGCAAGGAAGCTGGGAGGCTACGAGGAGGTCTCATGGTGTGGCTTCAGAAATGCCAAGTCCTTTGTTCCTCGTCCCTACTGGGGATTACGATTTGGGACAAAACAAGTGTATATTTCTATTTCCTATTTTTATGTCTCTTGATTTTCTAATCTTTCCTATTTGGCCGGCTTCACTCTGAGAACATATTGTACACATGTTCTGGGCCGTTTGAAGGCCCTCCGAGAGCCGGGAGTTGATTGAAAGCTCTCAGTTCTATGAAGTGGGTGGCCAGAGAACTGGGGCTGAACAGCTGGCACACACTCCTTGAACTTTTGTCATTTATAAATTATTTTCCATGCCATCTGGAGCAAGAACGTTGCCATGGCTTAGAGCTGCTCTGGGTGGGGTGCGCTCAGACAGCTTGCTCGCTGCCGCAGACGGAATCCGCTCGCTCGGAGGCCTGAGGACGCGGGGACCCGTGAGTGGCCCCTCTAACTGTCCTGTGACAGAGGCCACCTCCACCGACAGTTTTCCCTCCCTCTCCCTGTTCCAGTGACTCCCTCCGGCCTGCCTCCAGCCCAGCTCCAGTGGAAAACACATTAATCCCAGAGTCTCTGTGAGGCTTCCTGTTGGATGACATAAGCAGAAAACTCTCCTTACATTGCCCTTGGGGTTGCTGTCTGGATGCTCTGTCTTGGTGGGCGTAAGGCTGCCATCAGGAAAATCAGCACAGACCGTAAACTAGGGGACTGAGATGCGCTCCTATAACGTTAAAAGGAGTAAAGCCGTGGCAGGTCTGCGGCTGGGAGGAGTGGCATTAATCTGCAGATTCTCGCTGGCATTCAGAGGCACTGGCTGGTGACCGGGTGCATATGGCAGGAGAGGCTGCCCAGGTCCCAGCAGGAGGTATTTGAACCGCTCTGGAGTAAGCTGTAGCCTCCCCCTCCTGGAGAAACACCAGGAGCAGCGGGTGTGGTGGTGTGGGTTTTAGTTAGTTCCTCCCCCGCCCCCTCTGGGGCAGCCTGTTTACTTAATGAGTTTCGCCCTGGGTGTTGATCACAGGAAGCTGGGAACAAGGAAACTCGTGGGAAGAGTCAGAAATAGAAGAGGAGGAGACATTTCAAGATGAGAACAGCAGAAGATGGTACCATGTAAAGTGGTTTTCAAAGTTCTGAGGATATTAGGAGGCAAAAGTTTAGTAGCTGCGGATTAGTTAGAAGGAACTTTGGTACCAAAGTAGAAGCGAGCGAGCTGTATTCTGTTTGGATGCCAGAGGGCAGGCACAGGTTGACAAGTTTAGAAGCTATTGGCATAGGAAATGGAGCATATGCTTAAATATGGATTTCCTGCGCTATTTGGAGAATCTTGCCTATTTTCTGATGCCGTCTTGGTAGGCTGCCATACCCCTCCATTTGGTTGGCTGGATGGAGTTTCTCCTGCCTTTGGAAATCCATGCCCTGGGGCACTTGGTCAAAATGAGAAGGGAGAGCAGGTCCCTTAGGAAGATTCACAAGTTCTGGACACAAGAACCTCCAGGCATCTCCTTCTGCAGGGACCCCAAAGATGCAGCTGGGCACAACTTCACGGAGAGGGTGGAGAGCAGCCAAGGCCTGGGAATGGCTCCCACCATTTCTGCCTCCTGGTGTCCAGAATGTCCCTTGGGTTTCCATATTGTACTCCAGGTAGTGCTGGATACCTTGTTCAGATGGGACCCCTGTGGTCGGGAGTCTGTGCTAAGATTGTGTGTGGTGTATACACGGCTATTGTGAACTTTTTTTTAAAATAACTACTCCATAAACTTGGCATTCTGGGATTTAGGCTCTCTGATCTATTTCCCTGTGTGATGTCCTAGTGATCATACGATGGAGCTGTTAGCATTCACTTTAAAATATGTTTATTTAGCCATCATATACCTTACACCTGAATACTGAGCCCCAAGGTTGAAAGGATCTTAAATATCACATCTGCTGGATAAATCTCTTTACCCAGTGGGTTGTGACCTACAGAGAGAAGGGAGAACTATAATCCTTTTTATTCTAAATTACAAAATGCAGGTTGGTGGGATGAGCTAACTTGCCATCCTGTAAGTCAGACGGTGTGTTTCAGGACCTCCGTGTGAACGGGGACCCCACCCTGATGCCCTGCTCCAAGTCGATTCTCAGATCCTGCTTCTCCCTTCTGCTTGTCAAGATATTTATTTATTCATTTATTTATTTTGAATCTTGTATCTCTGGTTGTTGCCTGTCTCAGATTTTGGTCAAAAATGTAAAGTTGAGACTTGAGACTTGAGGCTGAATTCCAGCTCTGCTATTTTCTTGCTTTGTTACACCAAACGAGTCCTTTACTGCCCTGGGTCTCAGTTTCCTCGTTTCCAAAATGGAAGAGTGGACGTCCTGACTCCCTTTGGAATAGCTGTGAGGGTCAGGGACACTGGATGTAGAGACAGTGGGGACAGAAGGGAGAGGATAAAGCACCGCACAGACATTGGATTTTAATTGTTCATATGAATATTGAACAGATATTCCTCAGGCTTCATCCTGGTCCTTGGTTAAGAAATAAAAAGGTGACGCAGAGGAACCCGGGACAAGACCCAGGGACCTTCCCTAGTCCACCCACCACTGGATGCCGACAGCAGGCCTTGTTGGCCCTCTGGCCACTGGACTGGCATCCTCCTGCGTTTTAAAATCTTGTCCTTTAAGTTGTCATGAGAGCCCTTGTCACCTTCCCCACTCACGTCCAAACATGCGGTGGCCACTGTATTTCC